ACAGTGGAGGGTACGTCCTGTACAAAGATCCCGTCATCAGATGGAAAATTTGGCATTCTAGTAGAAAATATTATCACCAAAGACAGAGTGTTTTTCTCATACGTCCATGAAAATGTCTTCTGAGCTATTCAAGACCCTTTTTGGTCTGCTGGAGGAGAGGGCCGACACAAACTTCAGACCATGCATTTCCACACCGCAAATGGGGGCAGTGACCCTGCGGTGAGCAAATGCATACTCCTACAAATATGTAACGTTTAGATCTCAAATACGTATAAATCATGCAGCATTCTCTTGAAGGAGGTACGACTCAGGTTTTTGTACTCGAAGAACATGCAGGAAAATTTCAGATACACAGAACAAAAGCAAAATTTCAGAACAAAAAATTGAACAAGGACTAAGAATATTTAATGAACCGCCCGAGGATATAAGGGTTGCTAAATCAATCCAAATCTTTTAAGCCAAATTAATAAATTATTTTAATTAAAATAATCTTCTATAGAAACCAGCTCCTTCCCTAATTGGCTGATTACGCTGACTGGATCCTTGAAAAAAAAAAAATAAAAAACAAGTAATATAATAAAATAAGTAATAATAAAATAATAAATAAATAATAAATAAATAAAACAAGTAATACATACAAATAATAAAACAAGTAAACAAAACAATATAATAAAATAAGTAATAATAAAATAATAAATAAATAATAAATAAATAAACAAGCAAATAAATATATAATTTAATTAGGCATCCCAACCCGGACGTCCAGGGCGAACCAAATTGGGTTCAATGAATGGCCTTATTGTCCACTATTTGCATTTGCAAGTGCTTCTCAGCTTAAAGAAAATTGAACTAAAATTCATGGATCGAAAATGGGAAATAAGCAGGAATATAAATGATATCGAGACCTTTCCTCTTAGATTTATTTCGTACAGCTATGTATCTCGCTCATGGAGATTCAATGGTGGTGATTGCTATCATCTACTGCCAAAGTCATTCCAGAAAAAGCGCCACCAAATTATCATATAACGATTCCATAACTTGCAGTCAATAGATACGCAGCACGAACCACTGCTTGGATGGACAGATGACTCGTTCGATTCCGTTGCGAAGCGTACAGTGACCGACTGCGATGGTCCTCGCGCATCCCTACTACGAATTATTGCAACTGCGACGGTCGCAACGTAGCTCTTCGCCGTGTGCATGGCCTCTAAAAGGCCCCATAATTCCAAGGAATTAGGATTTTGCTTTATCTTTTTTTTTTTAACATCAGTGAAGTATGTAAAGCTTCTATCTGCCATCAGTTACTTTACCTTCCCCTTCCACATATCGTACGGTAATCCCCGCGAGTGAAACATCGATGAATGAGATTCTGTTCGATGTTGTCCGGTGTCGAAGTTCTGTCTCGGCACAATTATTTATGGCGTCATTCCTACTTACCTTCCAAACTTCCTCTGTCTTCTCGTTCAGTGGAGATATGTGTGTTTGCAGGAATTTCCAAAAATTCCTACGATAGGTCACCAGGCGCAAAAGGCTCAAGGCCCATTAGAATGTGCTGGCATTAAAGACGTCGAAATCCAAGCGGTAGAAAGGTCTATTCACAGTTAACCTTTAGTATGTCAGGATTATGGAATAAACCAGGGCGGATGAGGTGCAAATTATGAGTTCAAGACCGGGGAACCTCCGGCAAGATGATAAAAAAAAACGTAGCCTTGAGGCTAAAATTTGTTAAGGGAGAAACGAAAAGGGAGACCAGCCAGCACGCACACAGACACGTCCGGCGTTCTGAGCCTTATCCCTTTACCTACTTAACAGGCGTTGGATGCCGTCGCCGTGCATCCGCCGTAAGATAGCTTCATACGCGACTTCACGATCTATACCAGCGGTCCACAAACTTTTGGCATAGACCCAAAGGCCCATTTTGCTTACTCAATACTCAACGACCCGTAAAGAAGGTTGTTGGCCAATCGAAAATACAGAAAACCACCATGAATAAATACAAATATTTTTTTTTGCGACCTGGGCCATGGACACCTAAATCCAAATCTCCACATCAACCATAGAGGATTGCGACCTACAGGTTTAAAACTGCTGGTGTAGCCTTCACTGTTTCTTTTTGCGGGAAACGAATACAAAAGAAGTTTTTGTCAACAACCAAGCAAGATATGTGGTATGGATGGTATCACTCCCATTGCATTTAAGTATGCCTGTAATGTCTGGAACTTTGTCCAAATACTTACTCATCTCTTCAATACCATACTGTCCTTCTCCACCTATCCCTCATGCTTTAAAATTGCTAAAGTAATCCCCCTCCACAAGAAAGGTGACCCTTCCAACTACCGTCCCATATCCCTACTACCAACCATTAGCAAAATCATTGAGATGCATATATTTAATCACCTTCACCAATTCCTTCAAGACACCAGCATTCTCTCCCCCAACAAATCAGGCTTTAGAAAGTATCACTCTACTTGCTCAGCTCTCATCAACTTCACTGACAACACCCTAAAAGCCATGGACTTGGGATATGTCACAGGAGCAGTCCTTGTAGATTTCAGTAAAGCATTCGATACAATAGACCATAACATTCTCATTAACAAATTGACAATGTATGGATGTTCCTCTCATACTCTCTCACTCCTCACCTCCTACCTTTCTGACAGAAAACAAATTACTCAAATTCAAGGGAGTAGTATCACCTCTGACCCTCTCCCAAATTTTAATATAGGTGTCCCACAAGGTTCAATTCTTGGCCCATTACTTTTCATCCTATACATAAATGACCTTCCCCTGAGTATAAAAAAAAGCTAAAGTTGATATATATGCAGACGACACCACAATTTACTTTTCACATCCAAATCCTCTGGTTGTTAAGGAGACTCTCCAAATTGAACTTCTCAATCTGCGAAACTGGATTAGCAAAAATAAAATGCTTATTAATATCAGTAAGACCCACTCCATACTCCTAGCCCACCCCAACAAGTTTCCATCATCCTCTATAAAAGACTTACATGGCCTTACTTTAAACTCTGAGCCCATCCAATCACTTCAAAAAGTCAAACTCCTTGGCCTAACCCTAGATGCTCACCTTTCTTATAAAGAACATTGCCTCTCCATCATTAAAAAAATAAATCGAAATCTGTACCTCATTCGCTCTATATCTCCACTAATCTCTCCTCAAGAAATCCAAGAACTTGCTAATGCCCTCATACTCCCCCACATCTCATATTGCCTCCCAATATATGCTTCCTGCTCCTCATGAAATACCTTAGATAGAATAAATTCCCAAATTAAAAAATGCCTAAGAATAATCCACAAATGTTCAGCACGTCACCCATCCGCACTGCTTCTAAAAAAATCTGACTGCTTCACTTTAATAATCTTGCACACTTTGAAACTGCCTCCCTATGCCACAAAACTCTGAACACACCCTCCCCATCCTATCTTCAAGTTTTCACAGCTCCCACTCACCAACACAATACACACTTAGTGAACGATAAAAAACTATGCATTCCCTCTGGTACAACCCTTTCCTTTCATCATTCTTTCCACTACAGAGCTACAAAATTTTGGAACTCACTCCCTGTTAACATCTGCAACATTCCTGCTCATAACAAATGTAAAAACAGTCTAAAAGTACACCTACAAACCATGCACTAATCATCATAGTCTCATATTTATTTATGTATATATACTGTGGTGTATCCCCCTAATGAGATCCTCCAAGCATTTCTGCCTCTCTTCCCAGGGACAACCAGCCTCAAGGCTGATTTTATTTGTATATACTATATTTGCTGTCCATTCTATTTTCTGTCCCAATAAAGAACATTATTATTGTTATTATTATAAGACACAGGCAATTTGATCTATTTCAAACAGTTCTAAGCAAGTACAGGGAAGTTGACACAACCAACATAGGATTTGCAGACTTTTTCAAAGTTCAATGATATCAGAATTTAATGGCTAAAAAAGATTCAACGGATGAACAACAGCTAAAAAAGCTGAAAGTGCCTGTCATTTTCCCTTGGCAGGAATGATTGCTTTTTATGCAGCACACATGGGCATAGCATTTGATAATCATAATGAATGAAACAAGGGCATGGTATGTGCAAAAGAGTATTCTTTTATTAGCCATGATGCAGGAATGAAGAAAAATACACATTTATTCTACTATTGGTGATGAAAAGGTTGATCCAGCTCAGATCTATTTAAGATAAACTGTGGATGAAAGAAAACAAAACCATCATGGTGAACTGGGAGTTTTTTTTTTATCACAGGAGCAGCATGCAATCATTCACCTGAGATTACATGATTCAAAAGAAAGAAAGCAAACTTCCATTTAAAAAAAAAAGAGAGATAAATAGTCAAAGAAGGAAATTATGCAATGAGAGCTGTCATAATAGAAACAGGTTGAGCCTCTCCTGCCAAATAAGGAAATACTGTACTGAAATGCAAACCAATACTTGAATCTGCTTCCTCTAAGACAAAGAGCACAAGCTCAGCACTAATAGCACCTCCCAAGAGCCAATTTCAGCTAGAGAAAAATTAAGGGGCTGTCAGTGCATATGTAAAGCAATGAAAAAAAATAAAATACAGCAATCTGAATGGACAAAGGAGTGCTCTGAAAAGGAGTAGCACCAGGCAGGAAGAAGAAGATCCGAGCCAGAGAAACAAGGCTCATGCTTGGGACGGCTTCAAGGAGACATGGTCAAACACACAATAGAGACACCAAGAAATAGAAAAAAAAAAAAATCATCCTTTTCATGTTTTGACCTTTCTCTCCTACTGGCAAGAGAAGCACGGTCTGAAAGCACTGTCACACAACAATCACAAGCCAACAAGTGGCACCAGAATCATCAGAGGTGAAAGTGAGAAGGTAAGCATTGAACAAATTATGCAAATGAGGCTAAAGCTGGTTTGTGAGAGAGAAAAGTGACTGGCAGAGGCAGGAAACAAACAGCTGCAAGGCAAAAGAACTCAACAAAACTACAGCCTTTCATGTTTCACCGCTGATCCTTCCCTGTGAGCCGTTCAATCAGCTCCTGAAGAGGTGCCAACTCCTTCTTGTCAATCAAGTTGAATTCCTACAACAGAATGTATGAGTTGCAACACTCTATAAAGGGTGGTGCAAAACATTTATTACCCTTCCTCCAATTGAAACCAGCAGGATTTAATCAGAAAGTTCCCTTTCATTTCTTATCATCACACAATATCATGTGCAAAATGAGAACTATGTATTACCATTGTGTGCATTCAAAATGGTTCTGATTCTTTCAGGATATGATTTCAACATATTTTTGAAGAAATCAACTTCATCTTTCAAAGCATTTGACAAAACCCCAAATTTCTCTCTCATAACATAAGATTGAAAATTGATTGTCCCCTTCTTTAGGCATCACCTTCTCCATTTGATCCAACACAATACTTCCCACAAGCTCATAAACGGACATTGGGTGAATTCCCTTCCTTGCTCCAATTTCTTTAGTGAGGTTTCTTTGATTGCTCTTCTGGCAACCAGAACTTTAAGGGATTGTGTCTTGACTATCATAACAACTTCAGGAACTTATTCATAGTAAGCTCAAGCAAAGGAGACAACTATTGTGCAACAAGGTACAAAACTGGAAGGAGTGCAGGAAGGTCATACCTGAACAAAGAATATGAAGTGCTTAAATGAAGTGTTGAGATGGGCTTCCTCTCCTAATTGCACAACTTCCTGGAAGTGCTGATGATAGATGTGGGCGTAGACTCTAAACAATCGTTTCAAGATTGTCTTTGCAATTGAGAGAAAATTTTTTGGGAATGGCACACCTGAAAAGAAGATCACAGTTGGCCTATCAATCAGTCAATTCATGACTTGAATAACTCCTCCAGAGAATAAGATTTGTAAGTCAACCAATTTTTGATGGGAATAGCGTCTCATCATCCAGCTGATCCTGGACCCAAGTCATGAGGTAGTCTATGTACTTAGGAGCTGAGCACTTTATCGGCTTTTTCACTGTCTGGCCATCTGCCCAGTGATATTCATATTTTGGCCCTGCAGACATCAATGGACAGGTATCCTTCGTACAAAATTCAGTTATTGTCCCATACAGCATGTTGATCTGGTTGAAGAAGTCCACAGCTGAAAAAATAAATCATGATATAATATCAACTCTAAATGTCAAGATTTGGATGCATTTGAGGAATTAAGACATGACACAACTGGAAACAAATGTAGTTACTAAGAGCAAGTTCTGGCATATCTGAAGATAAGGGGTTGGACCCCACCAGAGCAAAATTTAAGAAACATGGAAAATCAAAGGGAGGAATAAAAAAAAAAGAGTAATGAGAAAAGAAAAATAGGAAAGTTTGGACAAAAATAAACCACAGTATGAAGAATTTTAAACATTTTTTCTCAAGATATTCTCAGAAGATTTTAATGGTTGATACCTTGAGATCCTGCCTCACAGGAGACACATTCATTAATATTTAAAGCATTGGTTGTAAAAGATGTTAATTTGGAAGGTAGAAAAGATGTCTCTCACACAGGGTGGCTCATGAAATGATGTCACATTTGTTTTTTTTGTATGAAACCAATACCTTTTTGCATATGTTGGTGCAAGCATAATTTAAAAGAGTATTTTTTTAGAAAATTTTCTTTTTGCCAGGTTCTACCAAGCTGAGTGATATCAGCTGAGTAACACCAAACCTAGCCATCAGCCATGTATATTGGCAATTGAATTATCCAAAGATGGAATACCATCTAGCATTTGCACTCAAAATTCAGGAAAGAAAAGACTGCATAAGAGCTGAAATAGCAACAACCAACAACAGTGCAGGGTGGTGTGAGAAATGCAAACACAAAGAAGTGTTTCATGTATAAATTTTCATGTTCCAGCTCCTGTATAAAAATAAGAGGTATGAAATCACCTCAGAGGTAGAGAAACACCTTAGGTTTCAGTGAACAACAAACTTTGCTGTTTTCTTCAACAAACAATTATCCTTTTGAAACTATTCTCCATGTGCAAGTACCAAAGCATAAGGCTTTGGCACTTGGAGTTACATAAGTTATATAGGCCACATGGTGGCTTACTCAGCTAATGTCACTTGGCTTTGTGAATCATGTAAAAAAAGAGTCCCAAGCAATGCTCTTTCAAGATGTGCTCATGGTAACAATGCATTGTTCCCATACAAAAAATAAATGTATGATCATTTTGTGATCTTGTTTGACATCTTCAGACAAATAACTCAGTAAAAACATGCAAGGAAAGATATGAAATAAAAACAATAAGTAAACATACTGTTGACAGCAACCCATTCATTGAGGTCTTCCCCCTCAGGCAGCATGACTGCAAGACGTAGGTCACCTGAACCTAATGTTGCTGCTGCATGTTTCATCAAGTCATATTGATGGGTGCCTTCTGGGATGTGCTTCTTAGGCTTGAAGGTCTTGGAGTTCTTGCTTCCACTGTGATAGAAAAAACAACAGCCTAGATTATGAGTTCCTAGATCATTTACACTGAACTTAAATCAAACTGTTTGATTAAGTGGAAGTTCTTGTTTTAGCTTCGGAGAATAATGTCTTAAAACAATCTAAAGATGACAGTTTCACAATTTAAATGACACCATAATGAAGCTTTCATCTCAAATAGAAGAGAAGTTATTGCAAGATAGTCTCACAATTCCAGTCCATATAGGTGCCAGGAGCCAAAAATAGGTATAATGCATAATGCAACTCAAGATATTGAGATCAGAAAGAGATAATAAAAAAAATATATGGAAGTTATTATTTTATAATCAACTCCTCTACATACATACTGATCTTTGTCAAAATCGAAGATGGTTGTGCTCATCCTCTGGTTGATATGGTGTGGAGTGAACTAGGAGTCAAGAAATGTTACGCTAATTTTGAATCTTTTTCGGTAGTTTCTTCCAAAGTTTTTTTTGCCCCACACTAATATTATACCAAACTGCTCAGGAGGAGCATGCAAATCGATTGATACCATATACACCAAAAAAAAATGTAAGTGACTTTTGAATCACCCTGTATATATGAGGTATGACAAAAAAATTATGACTGAATTATTTAAAAAGTTACTAACACTGAACATTTACCACTTTTGTCTCCTTCAAAGCAATCTCCTTAAGAAACTATACATTTATTCCAGGAGTGTTGCATCTCTGAACATTTGAAAGAAACATCTCTGGAAGTATTCTTTGTGATCCCTTCATAAATGTTGATCACATGACATTGAAGGTCTTCCAAATCATCAAAGTGTTGACCTTTCATAGTGTTTTTCAGTTTGGGGAAGAGGAAAAATGTCAGGGAGCCATATCTGCTGAATAGGGAGGATACAATACCTGATGTTTCAAAATGGTGACCATATGTTTAGCCAAAACTGCTTGACTGAAGTCAAGTACTTAGTACTTAGTTCAGTACTTAGTAGGCTTATGCATTGTTATGGTGAAGGAATCAAGCACCCAATTCCCACAGTTCTGGACATCAGCAGTTAATTGCATTATGCAGGTGTTGAGAGACCTCTTGATGGTCATATCAGTTAACCATTTGTCCTTGAGATAGAAATTCACTATGAACCACTCCATTACTGTCATCAAGACAAATCAACATTGTCTTTGTTTGAGACCTGCACATGAGAGCCTTCTTTAGTTTTGGTGATGATGGTGACTACCACTGAAGACTCTGACATTTCATTTCTGGATCATTTTGGAAGACCCAAGTCACCAGTTATAATTGCTTCAAGAAAATTATCACTGTGGCTCTTCTGCAAAAGGTCTGTGCAGATTGCAACTTCTCAGCCTTCCTGTTTCACTGTCTAAAGTCTGGGAGCAAACTTGGCACAAACCATCTTAACCTTTTCAAATTATATCAGTGCTATGAATTTAGTTTTAAAATGTCAGAGCTGAAGAGCTGGCATTAAAAGGGTTAAGTTAAGGGATAAACATAATCAAGCGCTCTGGCAAAACACATTTCTTAATCCTTTTATTGCCAGCTCTTCAACTCTGGCACTAAAAGGGTTAAGTGAAAATGGTTCAATATTGAATGTACTAACTCTCTTAACATGTTAGTAATGTCAGCTAACAGTCTAATGGTTAGGCATTGATCGGCTCAAATGAAATCACAAACCATTTCAATGTTTGTGGGGAACATATCTTTGGATGACTACTTCTTTCGTTATCATTGGTGTCCCCCATTCCATCCTTAGCCTCTAAAACCACTCAAAAATTCTAACTCTAGACATCACTATCCTACACCTGTTTTAACATTTCATTAGTCTCTGTAGCTAATTTTCCCAACTTGATGCAAAATTTGATGTTGATTCATTGTTCAATGCGACTGTCTAACGTTTTCATGAAAAAACACTTAAACACCGACTTCTGTAACAGTACATGACACTTTAACAACTGAGTCAAATGAAATGAATAAAATATCAACTTCATTAGACTTGTCTATGGGTTATATATTGGCTGTAAAAGAAACAGACCAAATATTTTAATTGTCACATCTCATATATATAAGCTACACTTCCCCAGAGAGCTCAGGAGCAAACTTACAAAAAAAAGCTCATCCCAGAAGGCCAATTAGCTGCCAGCTTTCTCACTCTTTGTCTCCAAAGCCAGAATGAACAGAACTTGGAGATGAATCTCTCAGAAAATGGAAAAACACAGAGCCTGAAACCAGAACATGAAGAGTACACTTAAGGCTTAGGTCAATATAAATTTTTATTATACTTGTTTCTACATAATTGTAAGCTGTCAATTAATGGTTAACGCTATCGGCGTCTTTCGTCTAATTCAAGTATTTGCGGTACATTGTTAAGGTGGTCAGGTTCTTGGGCTTCGTGAAAGAGGACGCCTCCCCAGTTTAATTCCCCCCAAATTCCAAAAGTTCTTAAATCTACAATTAGGCCTGGATTACTTTCAAATGTCAATGGGAGAACGAACGAGCGATTCCGGGTTCCGGATATACGTAAAATTATATCCATTAAAGGTATGGTTACAATGGATTCCTGATGACTTTGGAAATTGTATAGGCTTCATACTCTTTCAGACTTAATGTAGAAAATTTACGAGGGAAATATTAGTATAGAGGTACGAAGTCGACCGGAAATGAACAAATTCACTGCAGAAAAGACTTTCGACCAGGTCTGCACTGGCCTTTGGAAAGCGCCATATACATATATGACAAGAGGTGCCTTTTCGGCTGCAGTTTTTGATGTCCCGCGGCCTGTAACCTATAACAGGGTACCTTCAATACTGAACCCAAATCCTTACATAGAGGTCTCTACATACACAATTCCAAGATGGCGTAAGAAGTGATGCATCGAGTCATCGTAACGTCACTGAATGGAACAATAAGATTACTCATGGGCCTTGTCGCTCACGTACTAACGTTTAGGTCTTAAAGTAGCCTTATGTATAGCAAATTTAGGCTGGGCCTAGCTTATTTGATATAATTAGGCATACGATAAAGGCTATTTCTTATCCTTCGGGAAATTTCCTAGTATGAGTTTTCTGTTCTGATAGTTCCTTCCCGAAAATTTTCGGGATCGGATTGGATCCTTTCGCAGTAAAATCTGCGATCTGCTATTAGTTGGCGCACTGTGGTTTCCTATGTGTCGTCGGCGTTGTGTACATGCTTCATTCATTTCATCCTTGCTCTAGTGCTTTCGCTGAGTTAGCATACCATTTTAATGCAAGCCCTTATTTTCTTTGTCCATGTCGACACCAAGGGAATTGAAGTTTTCTCTGGGCTTACGTATGACATGAACTGATATCTGGTAGAAGCTCCTGAAGATTGAACACCACTAACATCAGTACCCTTTTAGGGGTGTGTGAACTCATTGTGGAAAGCACTGTACACCAAGGGGCAGTGACTTCATGCTGTAGGGGAGGGAGGTTGCATTCTAGTTGAGAATCAATAAGTGAGTGACTGGGACAAGTAAGGGGTAAGTAATATATCCATCCATTTATTCAATCTGTTCTGAGACTTCTAGCTTAGCCCGAAGCATCCCGCATGAAAATTTCCATATATGACTGAATGTATAATTCTATACAGCCATGTATAATCATATATTTACCATATATAGTCCATCTGTTCGAATCGCTGGTCGAGAGAGATAAGCAAAGGAAGACATTAGCATGTCAGGTGGCACTGGGACCAAAGGGGAAACTCTATGATAAATGAGAGGAGAGGGGGAGTGAGGAAGGAAACCAGTGGCGGAGCTTCCTCTACTTTCAACCCTCTACTCCCTGAAAGTCTAAAAATTCCTTTCCTCATACATTCATTGGTCTCCTTCCCCCCTCAAAAAAGGGGCAGAGTCACCCTTGGGTTTGGGGGTGGCCAATTTGATTGACGCTTCCCACTTCTCACCCCCATTAAGCCGGTGCCGCATAGATCCGACAACCCACAATTCGTACGGGTGCAATATACCACCATATATGTATTCATATGTTCTCAATTGTATGGTGTATAATATATTTTATCTGTATTACAATATCAAAAGTTATTGGCTAATGGCATAGTGTGACTTGTGGTGAATATCCATAGAAAAATCTCATGGTTGTTAGTGAACATAACATGAGGTCAGTGGTGTATTTTGGCTGATTTTGGCCAAGGGGGGCAGGGCAGCCGAGCAGGGGAGGGAAGGGGTTCTCAAACCCCACCCAAGTGATATTGCAGAAGAAAAATATTACCTCCAAAAGGGCACCAAGCTCTATACCAGGGGTGCCTGGGGGGGAGGGGGTGGCAGCTGCACTTCCTACTGCCCCTGTAAAATACACCTCTCCATGAGGTTGTTACATGAGGGCTATGACTTTCTGATGACTCTGCAACTAATATTTAATTCACCCATTACATTGTACATGAAATATTATGTATAACCTATAAAGTAACTTCCCAAAAGCAAAAGCGTATCCAAGGATGAAAAAGGGGGGGGGGGTGCTGATGAGGAGGTGCTTAGTGGTGTTGAAATTCACCTTCTGCAAAAATTGTTTGGTGATGAAGTAATGAGTCAAAGAAGTGTGTATGAGTGGATATAAAGATTTAAAAATGGCCAGGTTATGGTGAGAGATGCAGAATGTAGTGGTCAGCACTTCAACAACTGACTAAAACAGACCCCGCGTGAATGAATTTGTGAAATCACTCATCCACCTTATAGTCTGGACCTCGCCCCCCCAGACTATCATCTGTATGGACCAATGAAGAACTACCTTCAGGGAGTGCACTTTTCTGGAAATGAAGATCTTCAAAACGCTGCAAAATGGTGGCTTCATGAATAGAATACAGACGTCTACCAAAGCAATATACATTCACTGTCCACCAGATGGCAAAAGTGCATAGACTTACATGGGGACTAAGTTGAGGACTGGACCAGGTATTGTTGCGCACATGTGCCAATTTTATTGTAATCGCACCAGTAATACATTTATTTTTTAAGTTTGCAAAAATTTTCTGGGTACCTTGTATACCACGAAGTACGATAGTTCTCATGGTCATAAATGTGATATTTTAAATAATTCATTTGAATATATAATAGATTTTTCTTGGGTATTTTACTATTTTTGTTGTGCTTTTCTTAATTTTTTCTCTTTTTATCTGATATTATAAACCCCAAAACTCCTGATTCTGAGAAAAAAGGCGAAGTGTAGCCTAGGCTCATTACCCCCTCCCCCCTTCCCCCCCACAGTACCATTCATGCCCTCCCTGGAGGCCATGTCCCCCAGTTTGTGCACCACTGCTGTAGGACACTGTTTCTACATGTATTTCATGTATCATTTATTTCTTATTAATGCTTCTCTTTTTTGTTAGGTAAAGTGAGGGACATGTGCTCCCCCTGGTCCCCCAATGCTATGCCACTGCTGGGCAGTGAAAACAGAGAAATTACGATTACCAGAGGATATTCTTGATATTATCAAATATTATCATACCAGCATTGACATTCTTGTCCTAAGCATAGTGAATGGAACCCTCTTTCAATTTATCTTTCATTGGATATTCCTTCTCTGGATTATTTCTCACAAGAAATAGTTTTTGTTCCCATTTATTTTGTAAGTCATCTGTTCATAACGAAGAAGAAACTCCATTAGTAAGGCAAGTTTTCTCATGTAGTAGCATTACTAATGAAAGTATCTGCAAAAGTAAAAATGTATAATATTCAAACATTCACCTTCAGTAACAAGTGCATATATGTTTAGGTTATATGAGGGGGGAGAGTCAGATAACCAAAACAGGCCTCACTTACACACTGATTGGCAGGCAGGCAAGTTCTTTACAATCAAGGACCAGTGATAGAAGAGGACTGGACACTCCTCTGGGAATCGCGTATCAGCAGTCATCCACCCTGTGCAGCCAGCGAACCTGGTGGCCGCTGAGGAAAACTGCATTCGTCTGCCGCTGTCTTCCATGGCGAAGCACGGTGGACGCTGGTGTTCTGCAATTAATTGCTATAATTCCGATGAACACTTGGGAGGGAAGTACTTCTTTAGTTTTCCAGGACCCTAAAATAGGCCAATATTGAAGATTAAGTAATGTGAGCCCATGTTTGTGCCTCAAGGATGAGCTCCTTCACCTGAAATACGTCCAAGGGCACTCTAAGTCTATCTACATATAACGAAAATAAACTCTTACCCTTCATTATGAAAATTGTGAGAATAACTCATGAAAACTCGTAATATTCTGAAACGGAAAATGAATGTTTCTTCCGTGAGACACTGACACAAAATCAACCAAGCTGTGATAAGTTGGAGAACTTCAAGTTTGCTTCTTACAACTAATTTTCATTCATGTTCGCACAGAAAACTGTATGCCCGACACGCAAAGCACCTCGCACCAAACGCCCAGAGCTCTGTCAGCTGAAGCATGCCCCTTCCTCTTCCCCCTGTCTGATACTATTGAAGAATGAGTTCTGTCTTCGGCAACAACATTACTCTTTGGTTTCATGGTGTTCATCTTCTTGATAAGATGCACATGGAAAAACTGAGAGAATAACGGTCAGAGACCAATGAAATACATGTACTACAATAGGACAATGTGGTGTTCTTCCTCAGCAGCTGCTTGGAACACTGCCTACACATTGACATCCATGTTGATATACAGAGAGCAAGCGTGCAGCATCTGAGTGTCCAGTCCTATTCTATTACTGGTCCTTGCTTTCCAATATCCAGGAGAGGGGGGCCGAGGCAAAGCCAAGGTTCCCTCTCCTGGATGTTGAAAAATGAAGCCACATGCTTATTTCTATGTGAATGAGGTCCATTTTGGCTATCTGACTCTCCCTCCCTCATGTAGGATATTTATATGAATGACATAGCCGAAGAGTCGGATAAGAGGTGGAATCGCTTGGTTATCTGACAGCTAGTTTGACATGGCATCTATGGAGCACCATTGGTATAAGTTTAAATACCATGAAACATGAGTTCTTGGCATAAATGACTATCATCCATGAAGAAATAAAAATGAGTTAATTGCAAGAAAAGTAAGTCAAGTATGGTGACAGGCATACGAATTCATAATCCAAATACAGTATTTGGATTATGTATCCTTTTAGAATGTGGGTGTGTTTCAGCATCCTCACCTTACATTGTCATGGCTAACTACATATATGGACACGATTTGACATGGCATATATGGTGCAGTTGTATGAGCCATTATACAAAAGTATATTTGGTGATATATTTCCATTTGTATATGATTTTATGCAGCTTGTGTCAAACTCCATATATATATTTCATATATGTTCATATAGGTATTGCACTATAGGTTCATATATGGTCTTGTATGAAATTTTCACATGGGATGCTATGGTTCATCCAATATAGCACCAAAACTGGCTAACACCAACTGTGGCATTATGTTGAGGATAGGCTATAAAAGTTCTCATGTACATGTATCACTCTTCATACATCAATGCACAAAAAATATGAATGAATGTGGTGCATATAGCTCTATATAGATACTACAGGGTGATCAAGAAGTCACTGTGCAATAGAGTTCATGATATGATCTAGGAAGCCTCATTGTAGCTGGGATGTAGACAATAAATTATGCGCATTATGGATGGTGCAAATATTTGAAGAAGTATTGCAAGGGAATTTCTGTCTTTGATGATATGATATGTGTGATATGCAGAATAGTACTAAATAAAAGCCACAAAATGAATTAATTTCACTGCACAGTGACTTCTTGATCACCCTGTATTTATGGTCTTTACTCAGAGATCCAAGATTAAATTAAATTTGTTTTATTGCCACAATTGCCTGGCATACATCTTTGGGTGATTCAGTTGGACTTATGGGGAATAATTAATCATATAGGTTTGAAAATAATCTTGGCTGAGGCTGTTTTCAAACTTAACTATCCTTCGATTCCAAAACAGGCTACTCCACCTTTAGCTGAGGGCTCAAAGAAAACTGAAAAAAAATTAAAGTGGCAACAGGACTCAAACCCTGGTCAGAGTTGCTCAGAGCTTTCTGCAACCACCTCTGCTTCAAATACTATACTCCTTGCCAAGGAGAAACATGAGAAGTTCCATAAGAATGACACTTCCAGTGCAAATGTCATTCCTTGCAGTGGCTGCATTACCTGTGAAAAGTAACTAGTAACAATTACAGGTATTCCATCCAAAAAGTAATTAGTTACCAGTAGAATTACTATTCTCCAAAAATAACTAGTTACAAGTAGAAGTTACTTTTCCTGAGCTAAATTCTGATCTTTCTACAGCTTCTCCACCTCTTTGATAGAAGCTGGATGCATGCACTGAAAGTAAAAGTTCCCCCTGATTTCATGAAAATGAAATTATGATCATCACTGCACTGGATAAATACATGTGCTCACTCTTTTCCCTGTGCCTCTTCCCTTCCCATGGGCTACTTAACAGGAATTATGTGCTGATTGTCAGAATGCACTCTTTAGTTTTAAAGAAATGCAATTTTGCCATTGGTGATTAGAAGACCTACCCCAGCCTGGCCCCTACCATTAGTTCCCAATGGAAAAACATAAAAAGTTGAAGTCATGTTCTCTTGTTTCCCCTTAACAAGACATAGACTGCACAAATCCAATCCATACAGTTATTGTAAAAAATTAGTGAACATTCATTTTCAATGTACATGGTATTTTTATGGTGCAATCAAGATGAGGGTGTTTTGACCATGATATATGGGGAATAGGCCCAGGGGGGGGGGGCAGCTGCCCCCACTGGCACCCTGTAATATATGCCACTGAATCTATGGAATTCTTGAATTCGTTCCTAACCTGCACTTCAAAATATTTTTGCAGGTATGGCCAAGAAACCTGCACTGAATAAACCATGGTTTCTCAAAGCAATTTTATGTCCCCAATTTTGCTTCAATTATGTATGTAGTCATGAAGTGCTGGTTGTTTTCAGCAAAATAATTAATCATGAAGAAAAGGAACACATTACAGTAACACCACATACTTTTCCCTTGAAAAAGGAACTAGTCACCAGTTCGGTTACCCTCCCCTGAAAAGTAACTCATTACCAAAAAAGTTATTGAAAAAAGTAGTTACTGTAATGTGTTACTTTTACTTCATTAATGCCCAACACTGATTCCTTGGCAGAGGAAGCAGGATACAGAAGATGATGTCATTTTGTTGAAGTTCATTTATCTTGATGAATTCAGTGTCAAGTGACATAATTTAAAAGAGATTGTCATATTTTCCCTTTCCCCCCTCAGGTACAGTACTTGAAATTGTTACGTGAAGCTTTCTGGTACGAATATGGGGGCAGTGTTAGGTGCCTTCACTGTCTCACAGCTGGCTTGTTGCTGTGGCAGTGCAGCATGCAGCCTATGCTGCTCTGCATGCCCATCATGCAAGAACTCAACATCTTCTCGCATCATGTATGCTTTGATGCTTTTGGTTTTTACAATCATCTGCTGCATCATGTTGACCCCAGGACTTCAGGCTCAACTCATGAAAGTTCCATTCTGTGATGGAAATCCAAATGGCTGCAAAGATTTGGTTGGCTATCTTGCAGTGTATCGAATATGCTTCATTGTCTGCCTCTTCTTTGTTCTCATGGCACTGCTAACAGTTGGGGTTAAGTCCTCCAAGGACTATCGAGCTGGAATACAGAATGGATTTTGGGGTCTCAAGTACTTGATTGTCATTGGTGGATGCATTGGTGCCCTCTTTATCCCTCATGGAGCATTTGGAACAACCTGGATGTATTTTGGGATGATAGGTGGCTTCCTCTTCATATTGATTCAGCTTATACTCATTATTGATTTTGCCCATTCCTGGGCTGAGAGCTGGGTGACCAAATATGAGGAAACTGAATCAAAGGGGTGGTATTGTGCTTTGCTCAGCTTCACCTTCTTGCATTATGCTATTGCATTTGCTGCAGTCATTTTATTCTACATCTTCTACACCCAGCCCCATGCCTGTGGCCTCCACAAGTTCTTCATCTCAATCAACATGATCCTTTGCATCATTATCAGCATTGTAAGCATTCTACCACGTGTGCAGGAGGCTCAGCCAAAATGTGGCCTGCTTCAGAGCTCCTTTGTCACATTGTACATCATGTATCTCACATGGTCAGCAATGAGCAACCAGCCTGACTGCAACTGCAAGCCTAGCTTTACATCTGGGTCCTGTAATTCGAAGTCCCCGACATTTGACACTCAGAGCATCATTAGCCTCATAATCTGGTTTGGATGTGTTTTGTACTCAACTATTCGTACAGCTACATCTTCACAAGCAGCCAAACTTGGTGTGGCTCAGACTGTCCTAGTCAAAGATGATGGGAGTGGTGGGAGTGATGATGGGGGAGAGAATGGAGGCCAGAAAGTATATGACAATGAAGAGGATGGAGTTGTATATACATGGTCTCTCTTCCATGCTATGTTTAGCTTGGCCACTCTTTATGTCATGATGACTCTTACCAACTGGTATTCCCCTGGTGCTGACCTGACCACTTTGTCAGCCAATGAAGCATCTGTCTGGGTGAAGATTGTCTCTGCTTGGCTATGCCTCTTAATCTATGGCTGGACCCTGATTGCCCCAATTCTTCTTCCTGATCGTGAATTTTCTTAAACTCTGTTTTTCCAGTCTCTCACTATTTCATCTAAAATTCTCAGACTTGTGAAATTTCCTTGGATTTCCTTAATCAAAAAAATCCTATGAGAGAGGTGCAGATGATTGTCACTGCAGTCATGATTTAAGATAATTGTTATGCCTAGCATAGTCCTTCAGTATTAAAATAAGAACTTGACTGTAGGCTTAGATGTGTGCATGTATGATGATGAGCAAGCCTTGTATTTTGCATTCTGCTTTCTGTTCTGAGAAGTGTTATTTTTTCACAGAGCCACCTGTCATCTATAGCCTGTGAATCTCATTTCACTTGGGAAACTTGCACTGATTTTGATGCCTTGAAGATTGACAGTCTATTGGGCCAACATGTAATTCAACTTTTTCATGCAGTGACATTATAGTGGAGAGGATCTTAGGTCACATAGAGTTTTAGACCATGATTATTAGATTTTGTTGGGCTGCTGCAAATCATATACAAGTATTCAGATTTTTTCCTGGTCTCATTTTAAATGGATACCTTACAATTTGGGTGATGAACTTTCTGGATGTCCCTACACCTACATTGCAATAAGATGCTGCAAAAACAAAGCAAGGGTCATTTGAATGGGATAAGGGAAAAATATAGCATTCTCATGCTCTTTTTCAGAGATTCTGCACCCATTTGTGGGATTGCAGAGGAAACTGAGCCCATTCAAATTGTCATAACTTAATCAGTTAATGAATTCAAAAGGTAGCATATGGTTCCTTTACATGTTAATTTTTCTCTCTTGACAGCTCTACATGTAGCTTAGCATGGTTAATTATCTGTTATTCTGTTGGAATTGAAAACCTTGAATTAGGCAAGACTGTTTTTTCATCATCAAGTCTCTGCAATTCAATTTTCCAAGTTTTCATCAATTAAAGGGTTGACCCACGTGAGTCCCCTGGAGACTGCAAAAACGGAGCGAAATTTGTACAGGTATAGTTTAGGAGGGACCTTAATTCTTCTCTCTTCCTGTTCTTTCTATAGTAACTACTCATCACATGTATCTCCTTCCATTCCGTTCCTGCAGGGGGAATTTCTAAGTCAATTAATTGTACAGTGTAAAACTACTAATGGAATCAAGGACCGGTGTGTGAAAGTTAAATAATCTTTGTATACTTAAGACATATCAGTAAGCTTAGTGTTGTTCCTTTAATTCATGCCTGGATGGAAAGTGTTGCTGAATGTAGCATGATTCATTATTAGGGCATTGTACCTTAAAGTGATTCTTGTCTTTATCATGATGTGATGTTCGAATGTAGCTGAATGATTGTGACAAGGGTCGACACTGGCGTCCCCTTACTGCAGAAGGCCCCAGCTCCAATGGAATCATGTATAGTGCCCTGTACTCACTTGTCAGGGCTCCTTTTAGGGTAGGACACTTTAGTTCTTTCCTTTCAGTGCTCACTCTATCTTTGTTTCAACTTATGGGTGAAAGGAGAATTTCCATATATGGTACTACTTTCTGACATGTCCTTTTGATTTTTCTATTTTTTGTGGGTACTGTCTTCATTATACGAGCAGTCCCTTTTGCCTGTGAATCAGGGTATCAATAATTATCAGCCTGTTTTGCTTGTGTGGAGTTATGAATGAAATCTGTAGTCTGTGATAGAGAAAGTGTGAATAAGGGAGGAATGAAAGCATTCAAGGGTTGACTCCAGTGTCCCCTTTGATCCAGGCTTTTATAATGTATTCAGAATCATATACCTTAGATTTCCTGTCATATTTTTGAGCCTATGTGATAAGCAGGTGAATCATCTGTGTATTTTTATTTGAGAGAGATGTGTGAGGAACTGTGGGAGGTGAATGTTTTATTTTATTAGGTTAGGAATTACAGAGTTGACACCCGCGTCCTCTGCCATCCCATTATGAGAGAAGCCGATAAGAGCCACTTTTTGAGGTCATTTTGAACTCAAGGTGCCTGCTACTTAGGCCTAGGAGTTTTCACCCTGGTGATATCCTCGTAATCCACTGTCATTCCATTCAACGCCTCTTTTTTTTTTGGAATGAGGGAATGTCTTGAATGAATGAATGAATGAATGAATGAATGCATGAAAGGGTTGACACTTGCGTCCCCTTCTACAACATGCCCATAGGGATGGAGAAACATATGTACAGTGCCGAGAGATGTTCGGCTTTGGTCTGTTGTCTTCTTCTGTCAGCCCTCATTTCTCTCACCTGTGATATGTTATCATTCATGGTGCACTTATGGAGTGGTTAGGATTCAGTTACAATCTCTTGTCATTGATTTTTTTTTCGCAGATGTCACATCTTGCAAGAGTGTATGGTTGGAAATGTTATTTTGAAGGGTTGACACACGCGTCCCCTGTCTGTGCTCTAGCTGACATTAGGGTTATGGCTCTTGGATGAACATTGAAGAAGGGTGTTGCTTGCATCTTTGTCTATGATTGTAGGCCTACATGTGTATATAGACATCACCTAGGCCTAAAGTATTTGAGTGGTAAGATAATGCAATTGCAATGTATCATTTGCTTGCATGCATGTGTGTAATAGAGGGTTGACACCTGCGTCCCCTCAAAGAAGGCCCCCAATCCCCAGAACACCCCTACCTTAATGGGTCAGCGGTCATGTAAAGCATTCATGTACTTTTTTTTTGCTTCTCCTCTTTCTTTCGTCCCTCAATTTTCTGTTAGTCACTTGTACATCTTTCTTCTGCTGCCTTGTAAGTATAGGAAACCATATAGATTTTTACATTGTTGGTAGGCTACTTTGAACAAAAATATAATAGGTCAGGGGTAAATTTTTCTAACTTTTTAGTGATACTTGAAATTCTATCCATAAAAAATTGTTTTTCCTCTCTGGTCTAGCTTATGATCCCCAAATTGAATTTAAAGAAGTGTGTTATTTTTTATTTCTTTTTTTCATAATCCTATACTTGATTCGTTGCCCCCTTTTGCTTTCTCATGATGTCTGATGAGAAATATTAATGCCAATAAATGTATGTATATGTCATGCATATGCAGGTTATTGAACGATGAGCATTTGACTGCTAAGATTCAAGCCAAAGTCACACCAGAGTAGAGACCTGCATAATGAATTGAACTGAATTTCTCATATTGGGTGTGATATGTATACATTTCAGATCTTATGTATGGTATCCTCTTAATTACTTAATACTTCATGAAAAAAGAAATATATATATTGATATATATTTGCTATCTGGAGAAACATTAGCAAGGTTAAATTTAGGCACAAACTCCTGCTGAGCTGTGAATGAGCAGCTCTGTGTGGATTCCACACAGCAACTGGCACAGTGGTAACTGGTGAGTTTTGCAGAACTCTAGTTTGCAAGCAACATGATGAATTCAAATTTTAATATTGGATTGTTAATTTGTACAGGCTAGAATGAAAAAAAAGTGAACACATCTAGTTGGTTTTCACATTGTATACATTTTAAAATTATTTCAACTGCTCCATGTTAACTTAAAGAAAAAATTTAGAGATATTGGATGTTGCTCTACAATAGGAAGGAGGTTCTTCTGAAAGCCTGTATCCTGAAAACTAGATAAATAATAGGGAGGTCCCAGTGTAAGGAGGTTCAAGGTCCCAGTGTAATTTCATTTTGTAAATAAAGACACACATGCTTATTCTCAAACAATGTTTGGTCTTTACTCAGATCATTGAGATTTTATGATATCCATAACTTTTTTCTTAGAGTTTACTTTATGTCTGAGCAGCCTGAGTATTAATATACAGTCATCTCTTGATATGCCACTGTTGCCATTGCCATTGCTTATTTTGGCACTATACTGTGGGTGGCACTAGATTGAATGAGCTGTAGTAAGCTAGTGGCTATGATACTGAATTCTCCTAAGGACAAATTGGCTAAATGGATGCAATGATTATATTTCTATCCTTATTCCCTTCTGATACTCTACACTTGCCCTATGCACTCTACATTCCACTGCTATGAATCACCTACCATGGTGGCAACATATGTTTAGCTGTGTTTTGTACTGGATAAGGATTGAGACATGTATGCTACTTGGAACAAAATCAGGAATATATGTGGGAAAATGAATGTTTTGTACAAATGATGGGATTGGTGGATGGCAACTTATGAGGGTATTCCTATAATGGGAGATCACTTATGGACTTAGAGGAAGATTTGTTCTCAAGAATGAATTGACAAGGGTGGTAGTATATTGAGGGTTGACTAGATTTATCATCCATTGAAGTACAGGTTGTCTTGAAAAAAAGTTAACACTGCAAGAACTGATTTCTCTTGTGCCATATTAAATTCAAATGAAACATTTTGTGGCAGTTAAAATAAGAAGAGATTGTGCTTTTGAGTGCTGGAGATTGCACAAAGATCAGTCAACTCTTTGGCAAGATATGGAAAGACAAACTTTTACCCTAGCAAAATTCAGGCATGCTGGTGAACTGCTGCAAGCAGCCTATGCAAGAGAATCCAGCAATCTAAGCACTCAAAGAAGCTAGCGATCCACAAGTGTACTGCCTGGAGACTCTCTGCTCTATTGCTGGTTCTTGGGCATTTGTCAGCAAAAATGCCACAGAATTCATCAAATGAAAGAATCTTCTTGGTGACCCACTTCCCAGTCTTACCTTGCACACCTTGAACTCAAATTGAGCATGACTTGAACATGTATTTTTGTGATGGTGTGTAAATTTATTTTAGTCTAATATTCACTGTACCATACATCGCTTCAGTGGTATCAATGGTAATGGTAATTTTCATGTGGTTTTCAGAAGTAAGCTTAATTCTTCTCTCTAACTGACACAAAAATTGTTTACTCAAGTTCAATGGAATTCCAGAAGAACTAATTATTGCAGCATTGATTTTTTTTTTTGACACCCTGTAAGAAAATAGATGGCATATTCATGACTGACCATTGAGAAAACCTGGGATTCTTATGTGACTCTTTTTGTTTCATCAGTGTTAACTCTTAGATCAAATTTCAATGAACATCATCAGCATAAATGTAGAATCTTAGTAATTATGTAAAATAAACATTACTTGCCTCTAATAAGATATAGTACAGTACTTTGAAGAGCTATGAGGGACTTTTACTTGAAAGAGTCAATCTTTTGAACTGTTATTCACCACAATGAATATAACTTTAATGTTCCCATGTAAATTGCCCAAAAATTTGTGTTTCAAGCTGAACATTGTATGGAGGAATGTTTCAAGGTATGCAAAGTGCCATTTTAAAACATGTAACAGAATGGTAAAGAGAATGGGCTAAGATGTGCATCTTTAACCATATCACTGTGACCTGGAGTCCAGGCAGAACCCAGCCCTGTTTTTATGCTATTCTGCAAAAAAATATTTTGCTCCAGATCATAATTTTTGGTGACAGCTCTTGCTTTTGTGTTTCAAAGACAGTTGCAACCAGTACTGATAAACCAGGTCTGAGTGGACATATCCTAGGTCACAATGACAGGGCCAAGGCTCAAGTAGTATACTACAGCATCATATTTTATGCCTGTTCAGATATCTCAGTGTTGTTGAGTTCACTGTAGGATTGCATTTTGAAGGTCTTTTGAAGTCTGTGCATTGTCAGTTTTTCATTTCCATGAGTTCTTAGGAAAGCAAAGGCTCAGCTTGAATATGGAAACATTATTAGAGCAGCAGAGGCTTTATCATGAGGAGCGGGAACGTCTGATGGAGGAGATGGTGAAGGAATTCCTGTTCAAGAAAACTTCTGTAAGATCTTTGTAGTGCAATATTGTTATGAATGGTCATACAAATAATATTAATTTTTTTATTCTACAGCATCGGGAGCACATCAACTCTGATCACCGAGTGAAAATAATGTTAGATGTAAGCCCCTTTCAGCTGACATTCCTTTGGTTTTGGTTGAATGTTTATTAGGGATGCTGAAAAAGTCTCTGTTCCTATTATGCAGAGATATATGGAAGTGACAGCCTTGTTGAAAGAACTCTATGAGGACAAGGATGGACAACGTAAAGAAGAGATTGCTGCTTTATCAGGTCCCAATGAGTTTGCTGAGTTCTACGCAAGGTTGAAGGGAGTCAAGGAATTTCACAAGAAGCATCCTAATGAGGCATGTCTTCATCCTTCAATTTTTTTCCCAATTGTGACAAATATTGGGATATAAATTTTTTTGTTTTTTTGGAAACTCCTAGATCTGTGTCCCAATGTCAGTGGAATTTGAGGAGTATTCCAAGCTGCGGGAGAACCCAACAGAGGAATACCAAAGTTAGTTCTCCTGATTCTCTTCTGAGAAGGAGTTTCTTCTCTTCACCAGTGTTGATTTTCAATATTGCTGCAGCTATGTTGATGCTCCTGTGCATTAAGTATTTTCAGACTTCCTTCCAGGGAAACTTAATAATCATATGAAACTGGTCTCTTTATTATTTATTGAGCTGGCCTCTGTCATTTAGCCAAAATAATGGAAAAAGTAAATTCTTCATATGTGCTGAGAAATCATTAAATCAGTAGGGTTTTACAAGTATTGCAAGGGGTTAAGCCTGCTTCAAAACCTCTATTGGGATTTATGATTTCCTATCTTAGATTATTTTTCTCACTCTGGCTCTGACTGAAAGAAAGAAATAAGAGGATATGTAAAAAACAAAGTGGGCTTCAGTTGAATAGTCCCTATTCCCATTGCATGATTGTCCATACCATTGCCAGCTGCACAGAGAATGGAGATTGCAGAAATATATCATTCCAGCATCTCTGCCTGTTGCAAATTTAAAAAATCCTACATTGTGGCATGAGATGAGAGGTGCTGCATTAGGAGAACCTTGTACAAACCACTTTCAGTGCTCTTAGTCACTACATTTATAGCAGAATGTCAATTAGGGTGTTGCAGTATGAAATAAATTTTTTGGTAGGTATACTATGGCTCAATTGTGGCTCAGTACTGCAGTATACTGGTGATACTAGCAGGGAGTGGGAGGGGGGTGCTTCAGTTACGAACTCCCAGGAAGAAAAAAAAAACATGAAAAGAGCAAGACGCTTTGTTGTGATGGCTTGGAGCTAGTCCTTCCTTATTATGCCATTCAATTTCAAGGGGAGTCATTCATTTCAACCAAAAATGGATGGATTTGGTAGGCCTGCCCAGGAATAATACCATGATTAAAGTTGCTGGGAGGACTCAAATTATTGATCTCTGAAAAAATAAACATCATGGAAGAGAATCTATCTCAGCATTTTGCCACACCATATTGGCATTGAGTACTCAGGCTCACCAAGCATTGTCAGCCTTTTGCCTTCAGAAATTCTGACCATTAGCATTCACAGCACATAGCCTGAGCATGGCATTCTTTCTGGATCCCAGACTGCTCCCCCTTATACCCTTTATAATTCTCAACAATATCTGAATGTAGTCACTGAAAGCAAAGAACAGAAATATTAACCTGCATTGGCAAGATTTGAGCTTGCTCAAGGTCTAGGTCTAAAGATGGCCAATATATCATAAATCAAAAATCTTGCTTGGGCCAAGGACAAGGTTAGCATATTCACACCAAGATACTGCAACACAATCAACCTTCAAATGTATGAAGAAGTTGGATGTTGCAGTTAGAGTTCCACTGATCACTTTCTCTGTAGATCATGCAGCACATTTGACCTTGACCCCTCTTGTTCGACAATACTGAAGAACTTTCCATCCAATAAAGAAGGCAAGCCTTCTAGGTAGCCCTTCTGAGGTAGCCATGTTTTGAAGTTGCACTGAACTAATTAAAAAGTATATTTTGCCAAATGTATTTCAAAATCCTTTTTTTTCTTCAGAAAACTATATTTCAAATATAGAATACAAATACATTATGATATGTATTTTAAATAAAATTGTTATAAATACTGCCCACCTCTGACCATGATAATGTATGAACATGGGTGGTATTTCATAGTTATCATACCATGACAATAATACTGAAAAATGTAGACGAGTTGGTGTAATTATCTTGAGAACCAAATACCATGGTATGATGAAAATACCAGTATACCATAATGACCTAATGTCAATTATCCTGAGGAATTGGGGACCATAGAAAGTGCAAATAATACTTGTTTTGATCATCGAATGTCATTTTAGAAACAACGCTGCTGCTTGTTTCTTATAATACAATAGCAGGTATTTCAAAATCCTTACATCAGAATCTTACTTTTCAAGACAATGTTCTTGCTGAATCCATGAAAAATGTCAATTTGAGTTGTTTTACAGATGCAAGTATCTTGAAAGCTGTGTGATCCAATAGCTCAGTGATTTACATAGCCAAGGGAATGTTCTTAACCCTTTAATGCATGATTTTTATCTTTTTTGGCAAAAAAATCTGGTAGGTTTTACTTAGGTCCTAGGACAGGAAAAGTGAAAAAATTGTCTTTCCTCAAATTTGTAATTAGTAGGCCTGAAAATGTTATTGTTGCTCATTTGCTACAAACAGCATTTTCAGCTTTCTAGCCTATGCTGCATGGATGCTGGAGAGCTCAATTGGTCTGTCAACATTTGCACATACCTCAGTGCAAAAGAAAGTGTAAAAATATGGATGAATCCAGACCCTGGATTAGCATGAAGTTGAAAATAATAGCACCAAAAATGTCAGTCTTTCACGCAATGAAGCCACATGTTTTTAATTTGCTTGCCACATGGAGTATATGGCACCTAATGACTGCTTGGTTGCTAGGTACAAAGACCAGACTGTTGCACATCTGCTTTGAACCAATTTACCTCAGGAGCTCACTACTTAAGCATTTTAAACAATTTTATTTGGAACGTAGCATATATGCTACATCATGCATTAATGGGTTAAACTAAAACACAATATTGCTTTTTCTTCTATTCCATCTTGGTGATATACACACATACAAATACAATACAATGCTCAAGATACTGTAATCTTCATCCTCTGGTGCTCTAATTACAGAATGTTGTCTATAAAACTGTCAATGAGTTCTGCTCTGTAGCGGTAGCTGCCATGTGACCTTGACAATTTGAACACTCCTACCCACATCTAAGATTATCAATAGAACTGGAACTGTCACTCAGAGGCAGGGCCTTTGATCTCTGTACAACATGAATGACTGTGGAACCAGAAATCATTGCAACTGCTGAGGAAAACTACAGACTAGTGTCATTGTAATGTATTTCATGATCATCAGGCCATTTCAAGTCTTGTATTATGACTATGGAGGATAAAAGGGAAAAGACTGCTATTTAAAATAGAAACAGAAGATAGCAGACAGAAAACAGAGATGGAATTAAACATGCTGACTAAAATACTCCATCAGCACTGAAGACAGCCTAATTTGGTTAGGTTTCTTTTAGGTACCCTCTCTTTTTCCTTTTTTAAATACAGCTATAAACATTCTCATCCTATTTTATATTAATCAGGAGGATGAAGCATCACATTTGAAGACATTTTTATTGCAGGTGACAGTTTTTCTTTCACAATACCAGCAGAGATAGGGTTGCAAAGCAAAGAACAATGACCAAGTCAGAGCCATGACCCCCTCTTACATTGGCAATTATCAAAAATCACCTTTTGAATGCAACTGTTCATACTTGCATAGAGATGATGTTGGGTGTCTGTAAAAGTCAAGAAATAAGCTTGAACTGATTTTATTTGTGGTTTTCTTGTTTCATAGCGTAAAACTTAATTGCAATAGGCATGTGAGGTTTTAGATGCCTGGCTGTGTTTTTTTCATTCTCAAAGGCATCATTATAAATATCTTATTTATGTAAGTCACATTTATTTTCATTATGGAGGCCTCCAAAAAATTTGAGTTTATCCCAGTATTCATTCAGCAAGTTTCATGTCCTATGTACTGAAAGACCAAATGCTTTATGACTGATTAGCCCTTGTCTAATATAGCTGGACTTGAGTCCCAAAAATCTGAATAAGCTTCCTCCAAGTTGCTTTCTATTGGAATTACTGTAATGAATTGCAGAACACCAACCTCCATGTCATACTATGACATACAAATGTAACTTTCCTCAGCTCTTGTCAGGTTTGCTACCTTCACAGTTTGGTAAGATTCTGATATGCATTTTTTCAAGGAGTATTGCTTCTTGATTTTATTTGTAGCCCTTGCTACATCACTAACTGAATGTGCCCAATATGGTTATTATACTCCATATCCATATCATCATCTATTGACATTAACCCCATTTGATTGCTATGAGCAGATGACTTGAGTTGCATAGCTCTTGATCTGATAATGAAACAGTTTGAAAAGTCAGCATTTTACTGTGATCTTGTTTTGCTTTTATATAGATATGGTGGAATTCACTGATGAGGAGGGCTATGGGAAATTTTTAGACCTACATGAATGCTACCTCAAGTATATCAACCTCAAAGGAGTTGATGTGAGTCATGAAGTGAATGTCTCAAAATAGTCTACCCACAAATTTTCATTGTCTCAGATGAGTAAACCTGTTACAGCCTCATAATCCTATATTTATATCATGAGACTTGTGTGTTTGTGAGCAGAAGGTGGACTATCTGACATACCTTGGCACGTTTGACCGTCTGTTTGACATTCCACGAGACCGGAAGAACTTGGAGTATCGGAGGTACCTTGAACTTCTGCTGGAGTACTTCTCTGATTACACTTCAAGGGTCAAGCCACTACTGGATCAGAATGCTGAGATGGACAAAGTTCAGAAGGAATTTGAAAAGCAGTGGGCTGATGGAACCTTTCCTGGCTGGCCAGTCAGTCAACCTTCTTCCCTTGGGTCACCTAGGTCAAATCCATGTTCTAATGAACAGTGTTTTGTTTCCTTCTAATCCAGAAAGAGACAGGGGGTGCACTGGCTCACACAGGAGCTCATTTGGATCTCTCTGCATTTGGAACCTGGGAAGAACTGGCTTCTCTTGGTCTAGATCGACTTAAGTCAGCCCTCATGGCACTTGGCCTCAAGTGTGGCGGGTGAGGTTCATGAAATCTTGTTTTTGCTCATTGCCATTTATTGCATCTTGTGGTACTACTAGTACTATAAAGGAAACACTTATTCCCAGGACCTTGGAGGAGCGTGCCCAGAGACTCTTCAGCACCAAAGGGAAGAAGCTGAGTGAATTGGATCCTTCTCTTTTTGCTAAGACCAAAATGGCAAAAGTTGGGAAGATCAAGGATTCAGAGCGGAATAGGGATATTTCTTTCTTAGAAGCGCAGGTCTACAGGTAACTTCAATTGCTTAAATGCTGCATTTATATATTTTTTCTCTCGCACATTAGTACTCAATTTTATGCAGTCTCATCTTTGCTTGTAACAGAATTGCACCAGGAACTGACAGTGGGAGGTTTGTTCCCCGTGTGAGCTTATATGAAAAACCATGTGGTATTATAGATTTGCTGAGTTGCTGTCAGAACAGAGGGAATCGACAAAAGAGAATGTGACGCGAAAGCAGGCTCGAGCAGAAGGTGAGGGGGAAGATGAGGGAGAGAGTAGTGCTTCAGAACCAGATGATGATGAACCAGATGATGACATTCCATACAATCCCAAGAACCTTCCTCTTGGTTGGGATGGCAAGGTATTGTCTACCCTAGTAATTATAGCCACATACTGATGGGCTCTGCACTATCTTGTCAAAAGTCAAGGTCCACCCATGAACATACAGAATGCCATTGCATCACTTCTCAATGTATTGTTGGAGGGTCATCCTCTGCATGTGGAAGGTTACCAAAGTATCCATGAGTCTTACATTCAGCATCATACTTCCAGGTAAGGTCAGAAATGTCACAGTAGCTTGGCTGGACTTTCCACCAAATGGCCCCCAGCTACCATACCTATGATGGTGTTAACCCCTTAACTGAGGAGTTTTTTTCTGCCATATTAACAGAATATTTCTAAACATGTGAAGTGTCCATGTGCCTTTCAGCATCCACTCAGAATGTTGCAGGTTATCTAGGGATGCCTAAAAGCAGTGAGTGTAATACCAGAGTGGAAAATTTTAATGGTAAAAGGCAGTCTGCCTGTTTGAGGGGTTAAATGATGTTACAAACTATGAACAAGCATGATATACCTTCTACCAGGTGTTCATGCAGTGACTGTAGCCCATAATGGAATGCAGCTTTTTCAGACATGATTTGCAAATGTGGGCCTCACTTTTTGGAAAGAGTGTATAATATGGACATGAATGAACTGAGCAAATGCTTCCTTTTTCAATTTTCAGCCTATTCCATATTGGCTCTACAAACTTCATGGTCTCAACATCAGCTATACATGTGAGATTTGTGGAAATTATGTGTACAAGGGTCCCAAGGCCTTTCAGCGACACTTTGCTGTGAGTCCTTAAAAAACTTGGAACTTCCTTTTCTGCCTTCAGCAATGCTGAATCACTTATCAATTGGTTTCTTGTGGGTTGTTTTTTTAGGAATGGAGACATGCTCATGGCATGAGGTGCTTGGGGATCCCCAACACAGCACATTTTGCCAATGTCACGCAGATTGAGGATGCCATTGCTTGTCAGTGCCCCTTCATCCACTTGCCCTTTGCCTTGCAGTGTACCAGTATTTGCTTTAAAAAAAATTTTGAATTTTGATATCTTTCATTTTCAGTGTGGGAGAAGTTGAAGATGAATAAGGCAGAGGAGCGATGGAAGCCAGAAGTGGAGGAGGAATATGAAGACTCACATGGGAATGTGGTGAACAAGAAGACTTATGAAGATCTCAAGAGACAAGGACTTCTGTGATTCTGTTTAAAAACAGTCATTTATTCCCTCATGATTTCAACCCAATAAAGGAAAACAAAATACTGAAAGAATCCTGTGTGAGATCAATGAGTAAGCAAGGTAGAATAATCAAAAGTGCATGAGGAGGACGATGGGGCAATGGTCACTTCCATATACTTGGTTCCTAATGAGATTCTCACAAAGGTGAGACACAAGGGATTCTGAGATGACAAAGTAGTCCAAACGCCTGTCAAAGGAAAAAAAAAAGGGAAAATTCATAATTGTGTGCTCTAAAAAAATGAGGTAAAAAGTATTTTAATCAATGTGGACCTTTTTTGATGAGATGAATTTAGATACACAATGTCTTAGAATTCTGAAACCATAGGCAAAAAGCTATGAAATGCTGTCCAGAAGTCTATGGGACTTCAAGTATTCTCCAGTAGAACATATGCTTTTACATGCTGAGTCTCATATTTCTTTACAATTGTGATTAGCCTTCCAAATATACAGCTAAGTAGTCAATGTCTAACCTTTTGTATGATAAACATTAAAAAAATAGAATTAAGTACAGGGTGTCCATAAAAGATTAATGCAACTTTAATCTTTAATAACTAATGAAGAAATGAACGCATATATACATGGTTTGCAGCTAACAAAACCTTTATATTTCAAGGTTTTTTTTACGTACATTTCAAAATTTTAAATAAAATTTGGCAACTTCACAAGAGAAGGCAAATGCACTCTGTGATAGGCTGAGTTGAAGTCAGTCACACAGGTGTAGTACTAGTTCAGATCTGTTTACAGCAAGGATCCTTGTGTCTGCATTTCAGGATATCAATAGATGAAGCAATTTAAGTACACAGAAAGTTTGCTAAAAGAGAACTAGGGTGGCATCTGCGATTTTCTACTGGCACGGCGCACAGACCATCTTGGGCTGCTCTCAAAGGCTTTCTGTACACATTTACGGGAAGGGGAAAGTGTTGGGCCTACAATAACTCTTATCTCACAAGCAAGAGGATTCTTGCTGTAAACAGTTCTGAACTTATGTAGCACCTGTGTAAATGACTTCAACTCTTCAAATCACAACATGCACTCGCCTTCTTTTGTAGAGTCACTGTTTCCCTTCCAAGAAGCTGAAAAGCAAGTAAGCAAGTGGCTTGGTTGATAATGTGCTTGCCTCCCATTGCAGGGTACCCAGGTTTGAACCCAAACAAGTCCTGTGTTTATTTCAAAGTGCAAGCCCCAACATGCTTGGGAAAGGGGACCCCTTAACAGTTGGCACTCCCTTCTAAGGATATTGGATATATTAACCCCTTATTTGGAATAGATGCCTTTTGATGTTTGACCTCCCACAGGTTAAAATGCACTTGGTGAAAAACTTCCCAGTTAACCCTTTGGGGTCCGTGCCAGAGATATCTCATTTCGCATTTTCTTTTTACTATCCCACACCTGTCCTGACACATTGCCAGGTGCTGACATCACATTTTAAATCCTAGTCATGTGGAGTCTTGTGGTAACTTCCATAGGCTATTCCACTAGAGTCTAGTAAACATGACTCGCTGAAAACTATCAAAAAAGGTAATTGTTGAAGATCTGCTACATTCTGACTTAGATTTAGATTTGGGAAAGGGTTAAGAGGAAAGCATTTAATCAGAACGTGATGCAGGTCATAGTGAAATGACATTCCCATTCATTTCTTCCTTGACCAATCTACATTTCCTATCACAAATTGGTGTGTGATGTGTATTGCAAAGCCTTTGGCTTCTACGTTTTGGTCATCTTGCTTATAATTAGGAATAAGGCTATGTTGTACAAATGAACAGGAAATACTCATGGAATGAATTGACAATTATTATGATGCATGATTTCTACAAGAAATTCTGCAACAGACCATCCCACGTTCCTAGCCCGGGCATTTCCCATGAAGGTCCAGAAAGTATAGGCACCAGTGACATCAGCGTGGAGGTGACGAAATGTGTCCACAAAGCCCTCCTTCAAGAGATTTGTGAATCCTTCTCTTTCCTCATCTGTAAATCCTGCATTACGGCGATTTGTCTTGGGGTTGGCCAGATCTACAAAACAAAACATCACTGAAGATTCATTGCTTACATAGACCCAGTGCTTCACTCCTATCTGTGAAATGCTGACCAATTTCTTTATGAGAGACATTGAGGTCCCCAGCAAGAATGATAGGTTTCTTTTTCTCCAGATCCTTGAGATAGGCCTTGAACTCCTTGTCCCATTCCATCCTCTTGTCAAGGTTCACCAGCTTCCGGCCTGCATTGGGTACATCTGCTCCCAGGAAATCATCAATTAAAGTCATCCACAGATATTCAAATGAACTTGCATAAGAGATGTGGGTGAACTGGGGCACAACTGACACACGTTGATGAGGTAGAAGTTGTCATATTCGGCGGTGATGATACGGCCATCCTGATCAAACTTTGGCTTACCCATTCCATAACTAATGGAAATGGGCTTCTCCTTTGTGTACAACCCTACGCCTGCATAGCCTTCTGTCAATCCTAAAGCAAAATAAAAAGTAAGGAAATAATCTTATTAGGAATATTCAATGAGCTTTGTCAAGCAATTTTTTCCCCCTATATATTAAAAGCTATGAATTTCATATATTTACTTCCCTTCTTCCCAAACATCTACATAAAGATGAATTCTGAACAGCCACTTAATGAAGAATGCACAATAATCAGACTCAAGCATACTTTTCAGTTCTGAATTTACAACTCAAGCCAAGCCCTGAAACTCTTCCAGCAAGCCTGAACTTAAGAACTGGAAATAGCCAAACAGCAAATTTTCCACAAGAAAAATGCTCTAAAGCCATGACTTGCAAAAAGGAAGCTTTTTGTGCATTCAGGACTCAGCTTGAAGTCATTGCAAATCTGAAAATATATGTAAGTCTTGAAAATTTTTAGGATAATAATTTACCTTTCATCCTGGAAGTGGAATGATAACTGAGGAATATTTAGCATCACATCAGAGAGCTCAGACTTTAACACTTTCAGTCACAAATGTATTACCTATGTAAAGACTATAAAATATGTAAGTTTGTTTTAAATATTCCTATTTCATAACTCAATAAGGTTTTCTGAACTTTTGAATAAAATATTATTAACATTGATAACATCATTATTATTTTTAAAAGTTTTTAAACTTTCTGGAATTTAACAGGAAAATCCTTGACCATCAATTAAGGGGCAAAATATATGTAAAATGGTCAACTGTCAAAATGTTAAACTCTGATGCAAAGGTGGATATTATTAATATTAATTCCTTTATAGTATAATTATTATAATAAAAAAAGCAAGTGCATTCTTTCAATCATAAATATTTTCAAAATAGTATATTCACCCTTTTGTCAAACTTGTGATAAACCATCACTCTGAAGTACCTTTGAGTACTGTAACAAGCAGCTGTGGGTAGATATTGAAGGAGAGCATTCTGAAGGAGTGTGACAAACAGTTTTATATCTTCTGTATATTAGAAAATAAAAAGACCTGCCAAATCTTGCAGAAGATTTCTTGCTTTAAAATACTGTAAAAGCTATTCATATTCCAGTGACAATTTACCAATATATACATTCAGACTTGGAAGTCATAAATGAAGGATAAGGGAGAAAGGCAAATGAACATCTATCATAAACATGTTGTAATGTTAAACTACATCTTCACATTCTCAGTTTTCCCAGCAAATGAGTACAAGCAAATTACATCCCATCAGAAGGAAGCAAAAATGGATATGCCTTGAGGAAGGAGGCAACCATCCAGTCAGCCACATAGGCCAGTCCTGAGTACATAGCTCTTCATTCCACTTCCTGAAGCATTTACCACAGCTGTACCATTGAATGTTGCTGAATTATACTGATAGATTTTGTCCAAACTCAAATTTAAAGCTATGTCCATACCAAAATTTATTATAATTTGGTACTAGCTTAGGAGATTTTGAACAGCAAAACCTATCATTTCATACAAATTCCTTATAAAAGTTTTAAATCTACACTATGCCACATCTATCTAACCAAAAGGGTAAAATCACACTTTCCTTAGATAACAGGAAGAATAAATCTAAACAAAATTTCAACTGTCAGTACCTCCATTCCAAAAGGAATGATACCCCTGGATGTTCTTGAGCTCAGGAGGGATCTTGGCATCAGAACATTTCACCTCCTGTAGACAAAGAATATCAGGTTCTTCCTGTTTCAAATACTCCATGCCTCCCTTCTTCTGCCAGGCTCTGATTCCAGAGATATTCCAGCAGGCCATCTTCAGGTTCCACTTTCTCCCCATGGGGCATTTAGCATCACTGGAGAAATCCTGGGAACTGTAATCACTTGTAGTAGGGTTCTTCTTCTCAGGTGGCCCTGACTCCTCCAAAGGCTTCTTTCTCTTCCTTCCTGATCCATCCTTTTTCTGCACTGGCTCATCCTTAGAACTGCTTTTACCATCAGGTGCATCATCCTCTTGTTCTTTAGACTTCTCCAAACCACAAATAGACAGCAAACCAAAATTATAGCAACATGTCTAGAAAATATATATTTTTATTTTTACACTTTCTTTAAGTCATGAAAACATTAAAAACAGATCCAATATATTTGCTGATGGGTTTTTTTTTCAGTTCAGTGTCATGGTAACTAAATTTGAGGCTTCACCTAGGTGAGTTAGGTCATAAATGAAATCAGCCAAGGTGATGTTTGCATCTCTAGCAGAGCACCACAGGATGTGTAGGTATTCTTCATATGATCCACCATATATTCGGCAAGAGCATCCCAAAGAACGGTGGTGCCCAACCCATGGCTCATGGGCAAAAAGTGGCCCACAAGACCTTAATCCACAATAAATACCCTCAGATTTCCTTAAAATAGTCTCCAACAATACAAATGACTGCATATGGCCTGCAATGGCTGTGGGAGTGAGCTATATGTGGCTCCTGAGCCAAAAAGGTTGGGCACCATTGCCTCAGAAGGATTGTGGTATTTATTCAACTTGCAGAGGAGGAAGTGATAACCATGTGATGTCAGTCTGGTGATGATATGTCTCTGATTTGGGCCTTGCCAGGTTGAGCATCTAGGGGCTGATCCATCGATGAACTGTTTGATACAAAACTTAGGCACTTTTGCTTCAAAGGTTGTTTGATAACTTCTAAGAGCTCTCATTACCATAATAATGGTCTATTCTCAGAGCTCTCACTAACTTAATAATGGTCTACCACTTCTAGGCCATGGTGCCTGGCTCATAGATGAGTTCACAGGTTCATAGATGAAAGTAAATTAGGTGAATTTGCTCAAGCAAAGAAACCATGACACCAGAAACTATTGATAACCCATAACTTAATCCAAATCAAGTCCAACTCAAGAAGATGGCTAGAGGTCAGCAGTGGATTGATAGAGTGCACAAGACAAAGGAATACCCCAAAAGCAAGTTCTTTATGTTTCCAAGGATGGCATTGGCTTTTTGCTTTTTCCTCTTGTGCTCACTAATGGTAAAGTCTGTATCCTGAACCCTTGTGCAGTGGCATTGCCTCCTGGCAGGAGGACCACCATAAAAGGGATTAGCACTTGTCAACTGAGTTGATAGAAAGACTCCAAAAATGAAATTTCAAAGAAAGAGGGATGTGAGGACAGGCTATAAAGCAGGGTACTGGAAAAGAAAATTCCCCTTTGTCAACATTATTGCTGTCATTTGTCACCATCGGCAGTGACACTCATCTTATGAACCTCATTACCCTTTGACTCTTTGAGAGTCTACCGCATGCACAAGGATTCAGGATATCGACTATAAGAGTAGGTAGTAATTTGATGCCTAGGCAGACGTAAGATGATGGTATCCCTATGGAATTAGAATGACCCTTTCTTTATGGTTTAATAATTGGATTAGGATGCAAAGGGACTGTTCTGCCCATATTGACATCCCAAGCAGAGATGAAGCACTCATTTAAGATAGGCTTATCTCCTAAAGATGAATGCTTTTGGAGAGAACATGTTAATCTACAGTCAGGTTACTTAAGATAGTGGTTCTCAATCTGTATGCCATGAGCGATTGAGAAGGATTCTATGGGTGCTGACTGCTACTTTTTGGTCTCTCACTTCAGTGTGGTGAGAAGGCCAGGAAGCTGCACTCTTGCTTTCCTCATGTAAAGAAAAAGCAACTTCTAAAGCAGACCACTTTTGAAGAACCACTTTCAAAGTATGGTGTTTCTGACTTAACCATATCTATGAAGAAAAAATGCCAAGATCAGTATACTTTAAATATTTTCTACCGCCACATATCACTTGTATCACAAGTAACTGTGAACCTACCTTTTCTATGCCAGGCAAATAAAAACAACTTGTTATATCTCTTCTCCATATACCAGGTGTTTGTATTTAAATGCAACATAGGGAATATCTTGCCGCCTGAAGGAGGAGGTCAGCCAACACAACAAGGCCCACCGGATTGCCTATCTACAAGGAAGCACACTGGTGCAGTGATAGGTTTCATCCTTCCAGATACGTGGGGAGGTCCAAAATTTCGGCTGAAATCATGTTTCTAGTGATCCTAAGTGGATGAAATTTTTTTTGTGTGTTCCTTAATTATTCATCCCTTTGTAAAAAAAATTTTATTCCCACAGAAGGTCATGGAGACGAGAGGCGGCGCAAAAAGTGGCGGTGGTCAGCTCGCAGTAGTGAAATTCTCAAAAAAGCAAAAACAGACGATCATGCTCTTCCAATTTCATTGTGGTTTCTCAGTGAAACAGTGCTTTAAAGACCTCAAAACTCATCTTGGTGATGAAGCCCCAGGTGGTCAACATGAGCCTTGTCATCAAGATCATGGTAAATAATGAGAGATGTGTGAGACAACTGCTGGTTTCTAGAATCACTATGGCCAATGCCAGAGCAGGAGAATGCATCTAGATCCAAGAACCAATGCTTTTAATGTGGAATAAAGTGACCTAACTGACTTCATTTGCAAAAATTAGTGGTCAATATGTGATGTGGGAGGGTTACTTTTGCATTTCATCTGATTCTTCCCCTATTGGAGTTCGCCAGTGATCATTTACCTTAACAGGCCTTTCTATGCCTAGCTCTTTATCAGGTCTTACATTATGTTTATTACAGCAAGTCACCAAGATTTTTTCTGTACATGTATACACTCACATGTTTGGAATAAACAAGGCAACCACACTGCATGATCATCATTATTTGAGTAAATAAAATAAAGATAAAAACATGAGGTTTATCATTTTACAATCATGTTCCACATGCTGTTCGGTCTCCTGTTGACTCTTCCTTATCCAATGCTTCATATCTTGTCTTCTAAGTTTCTCAACTCATACTCCAACTCCTCTTGAAATAAAGAGGGACTAGCAGCCTGCGGCCGCTACGCTGGCCGTCTAATAGGTGGAAATTTGAATAGTATATTGTGCGCATACATCTCCTTGACAATCCTCTGTTAATCGCATTACTCATTCGGAACTGAACCGCTTTATTACATTTATACACATATAGCTTACAGCAGACAGGGAGATTCTGTTCCTAAACATCATGATATTCCAGCTGATTGCCACAATTGACATTGCGGTTTAGCACGTTGCTGATTTCGTCTTCCTAGCACATTCAATACTCTTGCATCACCTGTTAGCTCGTGGGCAATTAGCGATAGCATATGGTACAGACACCAATTATTCTGAAACAGTACAGACCATTTCCAAGAACTTGTTCGACGGCATAGAAGGAAGTTAGTGCATGTGCCGCACAATGCTAGTGACTAATTCTTGAAAATGCCTCGCCACCACATTAGCACCGGTGAGCAACACCTTCAGCGCCTCAAGGTAAAGCATGAGTTATAGTAGGAGCATTTTTCCGTTGTGCCAGCAATGTGAAACAAATGCCCCTCCCTACATGAAAATGTACAGCCTGACAGTGCTCGCTGTGACAAACGACTGTAATTATTGAGATGACAGGAAGAGGCATGGGAAAATGTCCTGAGTTCCGTGGTGTAATGGTAGCACATGCAATGTAGCAATGCTTGCCTCACCGGCTAGCAGTAGGTCCGGGTTCAATTCCCGGCCGCCCCCCGGCTTTTGACACCTGAGTGCTGCGTTCCTTGCTTCAAGTTGCCCAGCAGACTGCACGGCTCTCCTATTCTGGAGCTAAGCATTTGCTGGCTCTTGCTGTTCACTGGTCTGAGCGGCCATACGCTGAGGGGTGGATGGCCCAGCCTATGGCCTGAAGTGACAGTCTTGTAGGCCTCGCGCGCTGGGGTGACAACTACCACCACCACAACTCTCAGGCTCTTCGAATTTAAGTATAATGTGGACTGGAAAGGCGTAGCCTTGTAAGCCTGGCACTTTAGGCCACGGATGGCCTGGCCTAGGACCCAGAAAGGCATTGCATTGTAGGCCCCCATGTTGGGGGTGACAGCCACGACCACCACCACCACAACTTTTGACCTGTTCGAATTAAAGTATTAGATTTGTCCTCGGTCTAACTGGTGCCTTACTTGTGAAGTAATTTGTGATCACTGGAGTCACATTTAATTGAATGTAAAACATGCTGTCACTTTTTGTAATAGCATGGCTAATTTATTTTTAAAGTTGTGGCTTTTTCACTTATTTTGTACTGGACTCCTTGCTCTCCATGAGCCATGTCTTTTGGAGAGCATGAATTTATGCAGCTAACTGGTAATAAATATACTAGTATTGTAGCCTGATATTAGACCTAACGTGAGGTCTAACTCAGATTGACACTATGGTGCGCTTATCATAAATCTAGGAATAAACCGAGTCATGTTCTAAGCCAAGATATTGCCAGCATTATAACGGGGGATAGAACCCACCTTTTTTGGCATTGTTGTTCTGACGTTGGCTGGCAAAGCCTACACAAGGCAAGAACAAGTCGCTTCACCGTTAAACTTAGGTCCGGGTGTTCCCTTATTCCTTGATACGTAAGCGATTTCAAGTCAAAACACTACCTTGATACAACTGGGCCTCATGCTAAACTGATCCATTTTCATAATTTGATTGGCTGAGACAGGTTGCAGGGTTAGCCTACGAAGTCTGACAATAGGTAGAGAACGCGGCGGGAAAGCACGTGTAGCTAGTCGTGGAACCAGAACCCTCGATCATTCCTGAAGTGCTCTAACGCATGCGCTAACGGTAATCGCGCGGAGGCATTCGAGTCATTACATGGAAAATTGCTCCAAAATTTTGCAAATTAGCACCCGACCCATTCCGATTTTGATGAAATTTGGCATGCAGGTTTTTTATGTCATGAAACCAGGAAATACCAAATTTCAGCCTCATCGGGAAGGGAGGTCATATGCTACTGGGTGGTCAAAATGTAAGGTCACCTTCTAATCCCCGATTTTGATATCAATGTAACTCAAAAAGTACTAATGCTAGAGCCTTGATTATGGTGTCAATTCACTCAAAATTGAGCGAAGAATCCAAAACCACCATAATAATATCACTTACGCAAAAAACGCACAATGAAATTTAT